TTTCCTTGAGGGTTTCTGATGGCACTCCTATTCTGTAAAGTGCCAAAGCTTCCTTTAAACACTTGCTTTCACCTGAAATTCAATGCCTGGTACTTAAAAACCCACAGAAAGTATTCCAGTTTAACTAATTGTGGTTGAAAAACTTACCAATATTTTCCTTTTCATTTATGGTTTCGAGAACTTGAGCATCCACAAAACTGCACTTTCGTCTGAAACTCGTTACGCCTTCAGATTTGTTGGGTTTGCAAGTATTTGTGAGAACCCCTGTGACTGATTGTGAGCTTGGACTTGGCAAACAATCAAATGATTCCAAATTCAACGGGTTTAAATTTCCTTCAGCAATTGCAGTGGCTACCAAAGATGGAACTTCTCTGTTCATTGTCACAGTTAGTCAAGGAATACCACTGCAGCAACTTTTGGAAGGGTTAGGTTACCAGGAAATGAAGTTTTGGTGAAAGAAGCTTGAAATCATGAGAGCAAAGGATACGGTCCGAGGAAATCCATTTTTCCGGAGAAGAGTTCTATCAAAGCTTGTGAAATGGGATTCATGTGTTTCATTGACTTTGTCTTGCCATCATAACTGTCCACATTAATTATGAATCATGTAAGGTGCAGACAGAACAGTAATGACCATCTGGTCACACAATTCTGAAATGGTATAATTAGAAGTTGATTCTTGGTGAATTACTCAGCATGGACTGAACTTACATTCTGGCATGTTGAAAAACTGCAAGTGATTCTTTAAAGGATTTGATGTAATCTTCTGGCATTTTGCTTCCTTTCTCCAACTTCAAGACTGATAAAACCTGTCAGCAGCCAGTTAACTAACAATGAACTCTTTTGGCTAACCCCAATTAACAGTTGGAAAACTTGAACCTTTTTGGTCCCTGACTGAGTGTTTAACTGTGACTATACTTGTAATCATTCATGTCACCACCAAACAACATTAAGCACCCAATGCAACTAAAGGAAAAGCCTGGAAACTGTATTCAACTGAAAGCCCATCATCTAAGAAAAGTTAGAGATAGATGGTGAAACTATTGAAACACTACAGCTAAAATTGATATATATATACACGCACGTAAAGCTCAATATTATGCCAAGATGTGCAGGATTCGTGTAACTACTAGAGAAGTATACTCACCCTATCCAAGTTGCGGTACTTGGAAACTATTATATGAGCCTTTACGATGCCGATTCCAGGAACTGATGAAAGAAAATCACACCCAGCTAGGACACACATGCCTGCAGAACACATTAATAAGAGCTTCGTCTTTTCTTTTACAACAATGATATCATTCTTCCGTTTGATTCTTGAATATTTATTTTTCTGACCTGTGAACAGTTCCTTAGTGAAATGTTGGAATGATGGTTTGCGAGATACTGCTGGGTCAAAAACACCATCTAAGACTAGCTCGTCACCATTGCCGTTTTGATCCATCTTGAAAATGGTCTGTCATAAACCAGGTACAAAATATCAAGACCAGTAAATGGATCACAATCATATAGTGGAGACTCATATCGACAAACAAGCAATCATGCGAATTCTTAGACCTCCTCCATCTCCCACAAATCAAAGTTTTCGTGGAAGTTCTTACAGCTTGGCAACCGTATGCTAATAGATCACTATCCTCCGTGATAACTGCTGCTACCCCACCTCTCTCTTCTCCGAGACTCGACAAATAGGCTAACTGTGCATCAGCCTCATATGGAGCTACCACAAACTCTATCTGTTTAGATTTTAGTATCTGAAAACCACAGGAATAGCTCAAAAATCAGATTGAAACCCAAGAAATGAAGACAACTAATAAACACATGATAATTGAAGGGTTCACATAATCGTGAGAGCACCTGAATAAGCTGATTTGCCATTGATGGAGTGATGTTCACTGCTCTCTGCGTGATAGACAATCACAAAGAAACGGGGAATGATTTAAGGAAGACCTAGCAAGCATTTTGGTTGGAGTGGCACGTTAAGAAATTTGTTCACGCACCTGAAAATACTCTAGTGCAGCAGTAGCATTCCCTTCTTTGAGCTTTGATATTGCCAACTTGTGATTAGCTTCTCTTTTCCTATATCAACGAGCCCTAAGATTTGAGAACCCCCAAAGGGGTAAAATCCAAAGATGGACCAAATGCACAACCTAATAATGACCTAAAAGAGAAACAAGAACGTGGGAGAGAAAGAGGGAGAGGGAGAGGGAAAAAACCTGCGGCGTTCATGTTCTGTAGCAGCTTTACATGGGATATTAGCCCCATCTAACACAACCACTGGAATGATATTGTGATAAATAAGAAGATTGATGCGGTGCATAAAGTAGTCCAAGTATCGAAACTTCCTCTGGCTATTCGAATCGAGGCAAATCTCCATGCTACATGAATAAGCTACAGAGATAGTAAAAACCCTTGAATCAAAATGGAAGAAGAAATAGATCCTACAATAAACCCAGAACATCAGCCATGAAAGTTACCTCCTTTATGCAGCCAGCAATATGCATCAATGCCCACCTGAGGGGAGGAAACATATTGTCAGAACAACCGAAACAATGTAAAAAAAAAAAAAAAAAAAATTCACCCCAGATGAAAAATGCGAGTGTGCAAAAAAACAAAAACACTATAAGAACGGAAAATGTGGGCTAGTACTTACACGCTTGCCGGCGTATTTCTTGATGTGAATTGGTTCAATGTAGGGTTTCATGAACCTGAGCAAATCTTTGATTCCCATTTCCCCGGCGGCTTCTCCAGCTGCTTCCCGTCTTCTTCACTCTCTCTCTCTATCTCTAGTTCTATCTTTGTAATATTTGGAGATTGTTTTTCTTCTTCTTCCTCAAGCAATTATGTGTTTACCAATCAAAATTTGTTGTGTCCTCCTAGTCGTAGTAGAGAGAGAAATTGGCGGGAAGATATTGGGGGGCGGCGGCAGAGGACGGCGCGGGAGAAGTGAGGTTCCCCGAGAGAGGAAATTTAGGTGGTGGCCAGGGTCAGCAGCCACTCGTTGACTGCCACGCTGGCTTTTTAAACGGTGGATGGCTTTTTTTTAATTCCTTTCTCCCGCCAACGACCAGGGCGGGTAGGCTATTGCGCGTGCGTTTGATAGAATGAACCTTTCCCGCCCACAAAATGAAATTAGCATAATACTATTAGTTATGCAGCAAATTCCTGAGAAAATTGTCAAAAAATAATATTACTGTTAAAGATTATAGGATGAGGATTAATGACTCGTAAAAATAAGATAATGAAGTCATTATGGAGCAGATTTTCCTTTAATTATCACGATACGAGTGGGGTCGGTTAGCATGCTAACCCCCCTTAGGGGTTGGAAAAATGACACCCCCTAGTATATTAAATATAACTATAGAATTTAATACACACATTAAATACACATTAGGAATTAAATGCACCATATTAATTATTTGTTTTTTTTTCAAATTAAAACCTACACTAAATACATTTTCTCTCACTATATTTGATTTTTCCTTTTTCAGCAGTCTCCGACCGCCAGACTTCCTCCGACCGCCACACTTCTCCGGCGAAAATCCCATTGGCAGACTCCCTCCGACCACCTCCAAAAAATATACCACTGCACTGATACGTTGTACTACTGTACTGGTAGATATACCACTGCACTGGTAGCGATATTAGTGCACTGGTAGCAATGTCATATCTGAGTATCAGTGCAGTGGTACAAATACCAGTAAAGTGGTACAACATATCAGTGCAGTGGTATATTTTTGCATGTGACCGGAGAGAGTTTGTCGGCGGATTTTACCGGCGAAGTGTGGTGGTCGGAGGAAACTTGGTGGTCGGAGGCTGCTCGGAAAGGAAGAATCAGAGATAGGAGTGAGAAAGATCAAAGATGAGAGAGAGAGAGAATTGTATTTTGTATATGTTTAGATTTTTTTTTAAAAACAAGTAATTAATGTGGTGTATTTAATGCTTACTTTGTATTTAATAACAAAACATTTATTATGTTTACTTTCATTAATACTTGTCAATAATTAATGAAAAATTGACCAATTAAAAGGGGGGTGTCAAAAAACCAACCCCTTAAGGGGTTAGCATGCTAACCCGTCCCCGATATGAGTTATTATGCTGATGTGGAGGTCGATCAATATATGTTAATACGGTTGGATAACCTATCCATGCATATACTAGGCCAAACCAGCCAAATAGTAATGCGTTTGTAAGGGACTATCCAATGACATCAACGTATAATCGCAATTGCTATATCATGATTTTAGACGGATTATTTGTGGAGTCGTTCTAAAAGGTATAGTATAAAAGGCAGGGGCGGAGCTATGTGGTCCCTCACCCCCCCCCCCCCCCCCCCCCCCCCGAATTTTGAGTGCACGTGAAAATTTTGCCGATGGTTGGAAGATTACGTATAAATTGTGTTATTTGTTAAAACAAACTCTTGTCCGAAAACTATCTCATTAAGATGCTCATAGTCTAGTGGAAGAAATTGATTCTGGAAGTTTGTGGGTGCGTGTTCGATTCCTGTAGTAGGCTGCTGCATTTTAGTTTACGCATTCTTAAGAATCATTTTGGTTGTATGACTAATTACATATTTTTTTCCAAATAATAGAGACCATTCATTTTTAGATTATGTAAACACTAAGCAACATTTTACACAATAAAAGGTATAATTAGTTTTTTTTTTTTACTTTACTCATTTTTTTTGAACATAATATATAGAAACTTAGTCTTAAATTCTAATTTCAATGGTTTTTTATCTTAAATAATGTAGTGTCACAAAGGTAATAATAAAAATTTATCGCACTTTTAGGTATTTTACTTATTATTTTTTCTTCTTTTCGAAATAATACACTACTTAACTCCCCCCCCCCCCCCCCCCCCCCCCGACCGTCAAATTCTAGTTCCGCCCCTGATAAAAGCATTGACCTGAAATTGTACCCTGAATATGGGAGTTATACTTCCATACCGGAGTGAGATAGCATGACTATTAGGGGTGATAATCGGTTGGCGGTTTCTCGGTTAAACCGAAAATCAATAATTTATCCTCGGTGGGGGTGTCGGTGGGCTGTTTTGGGGATTTATGTTAACCGGCAAGCGTCGGTGGCTAACCGAGATAAAAATCGGTGCACCGCATAACCGCTCCGCCACTCCTTTTCCCCCTAATCTCCCTCCCAACCCAAGTCCCAACCCCTCCATGGCTCTCTAGAAGAAGAATCTTTGTTGCCCGCCATCGAGATCCAGCAATCTTTCATCCTCAATCGTTGTCGTCCGCCATCGAGATCCAGCAAAAGAAGGCCAAGAAGGAGAAGGGGTCGCTGCAGGCTGCAGCAGTGAAGATCGATCATCGGTCTTCGTCGCCATCCCGTCCTTCTTCATTCGCGGAGGTTGACGAGAACTGCAAAGCCGAAAGAATCGAAGCGGTCTCAGTCTCCGCCCCTTCTTCATCCTCCAGATCCAAGGCCTATCGGCAGTAGCAGCAGGTCGATCTTCGGTCGTCGTCGTCATCGTCGTCCCCTGCATCGCCTTGCATGTTCCATCCTCGCCGCCCTGCATTCTTCCTCGTCGTCGCCGCCTCCCATCTACCTCGCTGGCGCCCTTCGTCGACGCCAATTGCCAGCTCACCGTCGCTGCAAAGTGAGAGGGGAAGAGACTAGGAGCAGCGAAGTCAAAGAGGGAAATCTCAAAGATTGGAGAAGATTTTGAGAGAGAAAGAGAGATACGGGAGTTGGATTAGGAAATTTCCAGAGAGAAGGAGAGAGACAACCCAAAATTTCCCCTTATTTTATTTTAATTGTGAGGGTCGGTTTAGCCGACTAACCGCACCGCAGTTAGCGGTTTCGGTGGCGGCTAACCGTAAACCTTCTCGGCTTCGGTGACGGTTGGTGGTAACGGCCTATCTTCGGTGGCGGTTAACCGACGAATCGGTTCGGTTAAACCGCAACCGAACCGATTATCAGGCCTAATGACTATCCCTAAAGGAGTTGGGCCTGGGTTCCTATGCTTAAGCCCAAAAGTTTAAGCATATTGCTTAAGTCATTGGGAGAATTACCTTGCTAACTTCATAGTAGTTAGCACTGTACTAACTACTCTAATCACCATCCATTTTTCCAGGTTGAATCTGACGATGGTAAATATTAAAGGGCTTGTTTGGTATTTTGAAAATATAAATTAAATAATACATTAAAATATGTTTTTTCTCTCTCTCCTCTATATATTATAATCTGTTTCTACGGAGACAATTTATTACTCAATCTACTCTATCTATAATACGCTGAAGCCTAAAACTGAACCCCCATTTTGAATTTGCTGCCTCCAGAGCGTTTCTCGGAGGGGTATTTTCGGCCTCGGGAAAATTACATCGCAACGGGCCTGCTGATTTTTTTGTTTCGTCAGTCCGAGCAGGAGATAGCTGATGTCGAACTGGTGATAACGACGGCGACGACGAGGTAAGGAAGATGAAAATCAACGGTTGCGGGGGAGGACGGAGGAGCAAGGAAACAAATCCGGCTGGCGACCGACGGTGCAGTGTGGCAAACTGATTCTAGGAACAGGGCTTCCGACCTTCGAGTATCCCGGCTATCAGGCGATGAAAGGGAAAGAACTAGGTTTCTGAGTTGCGGCGGCCGGAGGTGAGGATTCCGATCTCAGTTCGTCGATGAGCGGATTCACAGTCGCCTATTGGGGCATTCTCTAATCTCTACTCAGATTCTCCAGTTCCCTTTCTAGATTGCTTCCCGCTTGATGGATATTGCCGAGACAATATTTTCAGAGACTGCGTGAACGGCAACCGAACATTAGCAAACGGGAAACCAGCCACAGGGCCACAAGCTCGATTCCAACACCGTCTTCCAATCGGGACCTTCAGATTTGGTGCTCTGGACTGCATGTTGTCCACTCACTTCCGATCGATTTTGTCTAACTTTTTTTTGGGTAGAATCTGACCTTTCTTTTGCAGGGTTTCCTTCTTCTTGCTTATTTCTCTTTTGGTTAATTTTTCTTGGTGAGTCTTGCTTATCCTAGGTGTCTGGTGTGGAATCGTATCTCCTTAAGAAATCGTCAAGTAGAGTTACTAACAAAGTATCCATAAACCTTTCCTTTAATTTTTTCTATTCGTTGGTGATAAATCGTGAAGTGAGATTGTTGTATCGCCTACTGCATTGTTTAATTGCTGGCTGCTTGGTAGGGTTCCAGGGGATTTGTTGCCTAATCAACAATGACTTTTTCCTTCAGGTTGATGATTCTATCTCTAGCCTGTAGTTCTGTAATTGAAATCCGTCGACTGATATACTCCTTAATTTTGGTTCCTCTCCTCTTTGCTAGCTAGCTGACTTGAGTGTCTCCATGGCTTATGAAAGTGCAACTGATTTTGTGGGGTTTCTTTTTTGTGCAGGAAGAAGAGACCAAATCAAGTAAAAAGTTGATTAATATAGCCGTCTCTGGTGCAGTTGGGATAATATCCAATCATCTTCTCTTTAAACTAAGTAGTAATCGCCTTCACGTGTTCACGAACTGCTTATAGCTTTTTTAGTCCCTGTTAATGTGTCTCCCAAAATGATGTTGCAATTAAGCCTGGTAAGACTTGCACCTTAATGGTTTCAATATGATTGCCAAGCCTGAGATTCTGCAGCAGAACTAAATTTGGTCTACTGTAAGATCCGTGTGTTGTGTTGCAAAGTCGACTTCAGTTAGAAAAGCTTAACCATTTGAGACCTTCACTCTAACCCTCAGTTTCATTGCTTTCTAATACTGGATCTCAGAGTTTTGTAATCTGGTTTGGTTATCTCAGAGGTAAGCTTCCATCATTGTACATTGGTGTCGTTCCATGTTTAAGCTACCTGTTCTGCTTAATACTTTGCTCAGCCCTAATGCTAATAAGGGTGATGAAATAATTTCATTATGTTCTGGCATTTGAGCATCAGTGCTCTTAAATCATTTGTGATTTGCCATCTGTAGTTCAGAATGTAACAAATCATTTGTCAATACCTTTTGCTTTTGGAATCCCTAATTGTAAGTTGTTTATTCAATCCTTATTTTACTGGTTATGCTTTCAGTAGAACTAAAAGACAATTAAGGAATTCAACAATAACAATTATAGTTAATTTTTTCATGCCATAATTATGAGAACACTGATATTGTGTGCAAAGAACAAGACGTATTAGGTGTTGTGTACCTTAGTTGTTAGGACAATTAGCTGTACATTCTGCGAACTTACAAAAGCACACGTTCTCTACTCTTAGTTCAGTAGTGTTATCTTTGTTTCTCATTCCAATGTATTAGGTGTGTTCAGTGAATGCAACAGAGTGTATTAGAAATTAGGTGACCTGTTCATATTGTAATTTTAAGAAGTGAACTATTCCCTTAATTGTAGATTTGAATATTTCTTTCTGCGTATCACAGACGGTGATCCTTAGCCAGCACAGTAATTTTATTGTGGGATCTAGAATTGATAACACTTTATTAGCTCGACATTCCTGAATGAATATAAGATTAATTACTCTGTTTTATCCATTTATTATTAGGTTCCCCGTTGTCATGACTATGAGGAATGCCTCGGATGCAATTGAATTGGTTTTGCTCGACTATGCGGCTTCTAAATTTTTTAATATTGCTGCTGAAGAGTTGTTGGCTAGGACTGATTGTGGTGATACTAACAAACCCCCTCCTCATCTTTTGGAGGTCGTAGGCTAAGGATTGAAAGTTCATGTGAAGCTAACTTACTATGACTACTCCCACCCGTCAAGTAAACTTAGTGTGCTGCGCATTGTAGAGGAAATTGACCTCAAACCTGTTGTTGTCAGTCAAGATTCTGAAGATTGTGAAGACAGTGGCCAGGTAGTTTTATCTTTTGTGTAGTTTTCATATTTCCCTTACACATTAATGGCCAAAGCTCTCTAGAAATACATTACACTCATGCGTATTATGTTCCTTGGTGTAGGCTGGAACACACTCTTCTTACCAGTCTATCACCACCATTGTGTCTCCCTCGCAATCATTGCCCAGGGCCGAGAATCGGAAACTTGGTGATCTGACTGTGGTCCATGCTGACCTACCAAGTTCAGGAACTCCATGCTCCCTGAATCGGAAACTTTGACGCCACAGAGTGATCCGACAGCTATCAATACCATCTTTCTAGCGCCCTCTGCCAGACACCCTACTGCCTTGCTGAAACCTTATATACAATTTCATTTTAGTTCTTAATTCTTATAGGATGAAGGTTCTATTTGTTGGTTTGCACACATACTGTCCTCCTTCCTGTTATTCTATTCTTCTCTGCTTCTATGGATTTCATGATGGTAAGGGGTTATTTGTCAAGGATTTTTTTTTTTTTTTTTTTGCGTATGCTTATTTTGACCCACTCCCACTTTTCATAATTGCCTTTGTCCATTGAGTTGTTTTTCCCCAGAATTTACTAATTTTATCTTCAGGGTTAGCCATCGATAACAAGATGGCATTAGCTTGATTTGTTCACTTTCATTTTTTTGTTGTTGTTATTTACATGGTGATTGGTCCACAGATAGACACAATTTTTTGGAATGAAGATCTTAGCATGGGAAGGAAGGATATCATCTCTTTATAAAAGAAAAACCAATTTCACACAATTTAGTTGGCCCAAGCTCTACTATGGCCCATGTTCATACACTTTTGCATATTATTATTATTGCTATTTATATAATTAAAAGCACAAACACTTTCAAAGTTCATTAAGAAAAAATAAGGCTATTTTTTCTCTATGGGTACTGTTTGCAGTTTGATTTTACCCATATAAGTTTATCATAATCCGCCATTTTCTCATTTTTTGTAATACTATTCATATAAGTTTTATTCCATACAAGAAACAACCACCTATAAGATATTTCTAAAACTCATATGAATATCTATGATAAGTTTCTTCTATACATTTAACTTAACATTAAACAAAGATTTCGTAGATCGGTTATTAAATATATAATTATTAACTAAAACTGCTTTATTTCAATGTTTATTTTTAAATATTATGAAAAATATTTAATTATTCTGTTAATGACCAAAATTATATTATTGTTAACTAAAATATTTAACTGGTCTAATCATACATTACTTTCTAAAATTTGATTTTATCATTATACCACACATTATAAAAGATTTATGCAATAAAGTTCTACAGTAGTTCTTTATCTCCTACATCCAGTTTTACCATAAAATCTTGATTAGTTAACTTTGACATAACAATTTCATCACACATTACTTTCTAAAATTTGATTTTATCATTAGACCCCATATTATGAAATATTTATCTAACAACATTCAATAACATTTACATAAATTAAAAATTCATCAATGTTACTTGCTATGACTTGATTTTTATCATTATTAGATCACACATTATGAAAATTTTATGTAATAACGTTCTATAACTTTTATATGAGTTATGCTTAATGATTGAGACACTACGTAAAGTTTATAGACAAATAATCATTTATGTATCAATAAAAAATATATTTAAGTTTTTTTATAATGATTAATTAAACACTACATAAATCTTATGTATAAATAGTTATTTACTATCTATCACTTAAACAAAAGAATGGCATATGCTATTCCTAATAATTAAGTCATTAAGTGAAACTTACATATGTATCACTTATTACAAAAGAATGACGTATCCTATCTGAATGA